TAAGTGAATACTAGATGGATTAATTGCGCTTTGTACATAACGAACATGTCAGAGTAATGTGGTATGTGTATCTATAATAAAAAGGGGCCTTCTAGATTCCAGATGTATTTGCTCAAAAATAAAAACAAAAAAAAAGTTGAGAAATACCACACTCACTTTATTAAATATAATAAAGTAGAGATGTTGTACAACCTGCAACTCTGCCGTGCTTAGCAAAAATGCAGTAACTCCAATTTTTGACATGAGATTATGGTACCTAGGTGCTTATATTGCCGTTTTGTACGGAGTAAAAATGACGTAATTCTATGTTGGAACCTGTTATCTTACATTTTAAACATAAAAAGAAACTTGGTAACTCCATATTTATACAGAATTCTGCAACTAAAACGCAGTAAATTCAAATTAGAAGCAAAAATGTAATAAATTCATGGAGATACCGCATTTTCTTATAGAGTGGAAGTACATTGGTTTTTCTTCTGTTGTGCTACTATTTGAAATTAATTATCTTCATCAATTATCAATAAATTATAATCAGTAATTGATTATTTAAAAAAAAATTATTTAATTATAATTTAATAAAATTATTCAATAGCGAATATATAAATAATTTTCACATCAAACATATAGGTACTATCAATATATTAACTATTATTTATAATATATATATATTTTTTACACTTTTTTATTTTTTCATTTATAGCCTCGGCATCTAAGGCCATTGGCTGAAACAATATTCCAAGGTTTACATTATATTATCTTAAAATACATTTATATTAGTGTAGTAGTTACAAATGATTTATTAAATTAGTCTCAACTATAATCATTGACCATTGAATTATTTATGTTGTCTGGATGGAGGGCTCCGGAGAGGGTGTCTGGTACTCCTGCTTCCCGTTTATCCGTTTCATAGGAGAGTTTTTGACATATAGGTTAAGAGGTACCCAGTAAAAGTGTACCTACAAATTTGTTTATCATAATAAATATTATTTATATAGTTATAATATAACTATTATATTGTAATATATGTGTTATATATCGATCGGTTAAGGCAATTAATATTTTTAACTTTATAAATAAAAGGAGGTACCTACTTAATTTTGTGCCCTAGCCTAATTCATTGTGTGAACATCCATAATCATATAAGAGTGACTTCAATAATTTTGTGTACTGGCTTTTTTTTAGCTACTGAAATAACTACATAAAGCCAAAAAGGGTAAGTCTATTTAAAGATATAACGAATAAGGATTTTGTAAAATAAATTAAATTTTCAAGTTCTCTATGTAAAATATAATTTTCAAACATCAATTCCGAATTGAATAATATTCAAGAGCGGCTGTTTCGTGAGTTTCAAGTTTGAAAAGGCGTCAAAATGTCGAACAATTTTCCCAACAATTGACATTTTGAAGTGACTGCATTTTTGATAAGCACGACAGAACTGCGAACGTGTGTATCGTGTCATACTTCCAAGAAAAAAAAAACATTAAAACATTTTGTTTTTTGTAGATTTTGCGAATCTAAAATGTGTGGATAACAATTTAATATGTAATAGAATAATAATATTGTAGCAAAATGCACCTACATGTATAATGTATTTATGTTGAAAAACCCACTAAGACATAATAGTGTAGTCTCGCTATAGTATGATGGGTAGAGGGTAACGGTTCGTAAATGTTTCTACCTCTTTTGACATACCTCGTACCTCGTAATTCTCGTTTACATGGAAGCACAGTCATATCAACTCGCCTGGTGGTTTAATTTTAAAACTCTTATCCCTAATCTAATAGTAACTTTTATACTTATCATACTTTCAACTTTTGACTTTGTGTACCTATGATTTTTAGTCTATATACTGATTAATAATATTTAATAGCTTATAATATATAAATGTTGTTCCAAGTTTTTGGTAATATTTTAAGAAATTATGATTGATAGTCAAGTGTTTAACATTTGATTCTCACAGTTAGGTTAGGTTAGATAAACTTCTCACATTACCATATACATAAAGTATGATCACAACAATTTTTTACTAACCAATTTTAAAGTTGAATCAAATTTAATGTGATTCTCAATGCTAATTTCGTCAATGCTTGAATATTAAACCTTGTAACACATAATTTTGACTACTCAATTTGTTTTTTTTAATTGCATCTAATGAGGACCTTAAATATTTAAATTTAAATTTTTGATGACATTTAAATTTGGAACGCTTGTAAAAGTATAAACAAATAAATAAAATATCGTAAAATATCGGAAAAATTGTGGAATCAAAGATATGTTTTTAGATGTAGTGCAGTGGAAAAATATATAGTAGCATGCTACATTTTGTTAAGAAATTAAATTTTTTTTTTTTATTGATACTTTGCTTTTCTGTGGCTATAAACAAAGTGTTACGAAAATCGGTTTGAAAAAAAATTGGAAAAAGTCCAAAAGCCTATATATTTTAACATTATAACCATATTTTGTAACAATTTTTGATACATTTTAATTGTCTATAAATAGTTTAAAAATTGTCAAAATTATCTTATCGATAAAAAGGCAATAAATAATAAAAATATTTCCGTCGTTTTGTGATATTTTAGTTTCTTATTTAAATTATTTGTCATGCTTTAAAAATATAACCTAACTGTATAATGATTAATCAACTAAATTCAATTTTACAGCGACGACGGCTGTATATTATTCCACATCGATTTTTCTATATCCCATTCGGCGACGTAATCCACCCACCTTAATAATAAGCTCCATTACACTTACTGGTGCAGCTAGACGCATATTATATAAAACCGTAATCCTACACCTGCAGCTTTTCATATATACATGTGTATCTAGTTACAATGTTTATATTATTAAACCATTCATTTTTTTTACTTTACTTTAATGGTTTCACTTGGTAAAATGTAGTCTATAGTCTAGACACTACTGCCGTTCGTTACAGTTAGTATGATTTGCGTATAATACCATAATATTATAGAATATTAGTATGTACATCGTATACATAATATTGTGTTATTAAAATTTAAGTACAATATTATTATCCATCTTACAACATTATACATGTACCGGAGTTAAACATTTAACGCTTATGACAAGTAATTTTTAGATGTAGGTACTCATTAAGCGCGCTATGTACCCAACATTTTATAGTTAAGTGTGCCACTCAACGTTTTTTACATTTTATATCTACAGGTCTTTAATTGGTCTAGTAAGGTAGTAAAAATTAGGATTATATGTAAGTCGTTTTGTATTGCAGAGTAATTCCATGTATTAATTTAGCGCTCTATTTGTGGGTGGACGCAGGGGTACCCCAACTAACTTTTATCTTTTAGATCTTGCGGATCTATAAGTTAGTTAATATTAACTAATTATTACTAAACTAATCATTTATTTACTTTTATAATCATTTTGAGTTTGATATTATTTATAAATTTAACATAATAAAAACAGTAGTTACTAATTATCTATAATATTAATTTGCGTTTGTATTTTTTTTTAACCGATTATTTAAAAAAATTTTTTTGATATGATTCAAATAGGGGTATTAGGTGGTAAGGAGGGCATAGCCCAAACGGCTCAATAACGTTTAACAAGTTATGGGGAAGTTCTTTTTTTAAAAGTAAACAGAGCCCCGCTACTATAATTTTACCAGGTCGAGCACTGTAGTAACATAGATATCGAATAACTTTATCAATAAGTACCTACACCATAGGGTATATACAAGTTAAATTTAGACTTTTGAAACAATTCGCCAATAAATCGCATTGCCATCATTTCAATTATCACGCGTCAATCGCAGGTCAAGGTTGGAATTTTATATTATTATTTACTATTCATTTTTATACAGACGGAGCAATGCTAAAATATTTGCTGGGAATAATTTATCAGTTTGGTACAACATAAGTTTTGAAATATTAATATTTTTCTATGTATCAATTTTGAATTAGGTGTAACATAATATTATTTAACGATAACTGATGCTTTTTATTTTTATTACCAGGAGTATCTAAAAAGTAAGTTTACCTATGCCAGGAAAAAGTATAAAAATGCACCAAAGTTGAAGTCAGCGTTTTTCTAACATCTAAAAACTTTTCTGGGAGGAAAATTGTTCAGGACTGAAACTTCACAGAAATTTCAAGCATTTTTTCCTAAAGGTTCTGAAAAAGTTCGATGTTGTGCCACATTACCTGCAACGATGTATAGAGAAAACCTGCAAATTGACAATAATAGAACCAAAGGTGACAAAAGTCCAACGATTTGACAATTAAACCTGCACTTTTGGGACTATAAGACCCACTTGTACAAACATTGTCAGTGAGTTAATACAATATGGTCAGTTCAATTTTCGGTGCATTTTCTTCTGATATCAACTTTATTGTTGGATACCTATTTTCCGTATTATAACCGTTGCATTTGTAAAATATTGTCCTACGATTCCATATTGACCTTTTTTGAACTACATAACAATACCAACTATATCTATGTGGTTATGTATAACTATAGTATATTATGATACTTATACCGGGTGATTATTTTATCATTTAAAAACTCATTATTTCAAAAGTATAAATGTTTATGAAATTTTTTTTTATAGTTTCTAGTCGTTGATAAACAAATTTAAAAAATATATATATTTTTTAACTTTTTTGAATGACAACGTACAATTTTAATTTCATATTTCAAAGCAGAATATTTTTCTTTTCGATACATACAAATCGAATATAAAACGAGTAGTTTATGAGTTATAACTTACAAGTATCGAAATATTCAGGAAAATATGCTGTTTTCAAAGTTGGAACTGTATGTTATAATTTAAAAAAGTAAAAACCTTAGTAAAAATAGAAGGATAAAAAATAATTCCGTTGTTTTGTAAAGACTTGAAACCACGTGCACAAAACATTTTCAAAAACAATAATAATTTTTGAATAATGAGTGTCTTTCGTTAAATGGATCCCCGGTATGGTTTACGTGGACGTATTTGACGGTCGATCGGTTTGTTTCCGCAGGACGATTTGAAACGGTCGGGCAAGAGTTCGGCCGACCCGGGTGGCGACTTTCCTATGATCAGCCAGAACGCCCGACCACCGGGGCCTTACGTCGTACCGGAAGTCCTATTGCGCTACTTGAGCGTGGGCGCCGACGGTACGCCTTTGCTGACTACTATCACGCCGGACATGGTCGACCCGACCGATTTCGAAGACTGGTCGAGCGACGACTACGTGGACATGCCAGACAGACCTTTGCAGCAGCACGTGCAGTATGCCGTTAACATGTGATGAGCCCGCGACTATGTCAACATCGCAGATGTCCAGTTTAAAAGGCATTTACCTCATACCGTCTACGGATCAGCCAAATAAGCATTGAGCAATACAATAATAAATAATGATAATAATAACGATAATAGTTAATAATATTTAATATGGATTGACGTTTTAAAAAATTTGAAATCAACTTACGCTATAATAGTGATCCTAACAATTATATTATATGTTTATCTGGTTACATAACTATTACTAATGCGTATACTTATGTGATATTATATTAAATGTACCTACTTACTGTGATTGCATTTCAGTTGGCTTTTGTGATTTTGAAAAACTATACTACGATGAAAAATATATTTTATTTCGTATATTGACGACAGTAATAGTATTGTAGAGTTTAAAATTTGAAAATCACTAAATTTATCTGTATTTAATTGGTGCACCCGATGATTAAATGTACCGCTCTGTATGTGGGCACGTATCACGTGGTTTTTTTTCTTAGTATGACTTCATTCGATCGATATTTTGTTACGTCATGTAATTTGGGTGTCACATGATTTTGTATAGATAATTCTTCGTTCGGGGTGATGTATGTATAATATATACGTTATCAAATTGTGTAACTAGAAACCAAATTTTGCAAAAATGTATCACTGCTATATTGGAGGTGTCTTTTAATGGGTCGTCTGAGAGAAAAATTTACATATTATTATTATATTCCAACGAAAATATTTTGTATTTTTTGATAATAATGTAAGTCCGTTCATCACAAGCGAACAACGATGATAATATAATGTACAAGTGCAACTACAACTACCGAATTATAATTATATAATAATATTGTCTATTATTCCAATGTTTGTTTTGTAGCTACGTTTTATATATAATATTGTTATTATTGTTATTATCAAGCGCGAGGCATTATTGTGTGCGGCAACTAATGAATTAAACCTATTAAGCCCAAAAATGCGTTGATCGACGTTCTAATCAGTAAAGTTTTATATTATTTAACCTTTTTTTTTCTTTTTTTTTTAAACTCTTTTTGTTTCGTTACATTGTGTTTGGGATAACAATGGTTTTCAGTAAACAGTATATAGGTACGCGCCTGACGTACCCGGAATAAATAAGATTTTATATAATAATGGGATATCATTATTCATTTTAACCGTGTTGTATACCGTTGCAGGATTTAATCGCGTATAATAAAGTAATTTCTTTCTCTCGTTAAGTTTAAACTGAAATGTGTGGTGCATCAAACGCGTATACATTAATACATTATATTGTAATAATATCAAACTTTATCGAATAACAACTAAATTCACTGAACCCAATTCAATCGTTAGATTGTAATTTACTGTAATAAATGTATTACAAAAATGTCTACCAAATTCATATGCCCGTTAGAAAATTAGATACTACAAGAAGAAGGCCTGCAGGTGAAAACCAAAAAAGCGACAAAACTATCCGCTCACTGTTTATTTGATATGGACCGACATTAAAAACAAAAGAACATTTAAACGAACAGTAAACAATTGAAAAACCCGTATTTTTCAAGGTCTTAAACAGGCATTTCCATGAATATACGGGCCCGTCTTGAAATCGCAAGAAAACGGTGCAAGTAGGTACGAAAAATGAGTATCATCGCTCGCCGTACTACATACTATATAATATTATATAAACGACGCAGATAATATTTTATAGCGCATCGGACAAGGATACGACACATTACATTTTATGTGTCACTGCTGCAGGTTGTGTTTATTATTTGCAGTTATATACTATACAGGGTGATTCACCAAGCACGCTTACCCCTGTTTTGTCCTTAAGCTATACACTCATCAAAATTAAGGTTTTCGGCATATTGAATTATCCTGTATGAAAATAAATTTTTAAATACAGAGATTTTTGTATGTTATTATTAAACGAGTGTCTTTTAGATGTTTTTTCAAATGTTAACCACAACTTTTTGCTGTAAATTGTTTAAATAAATTTTTTTTTAAAATATATAATAACTCATAATAATAGGTTTGAAATAATTCTGTATAAAATATATGTATAGTAATGTTCGGTGTAATATTGCTGATTATACCTATTCAGACAATGTTTATACATTTTAATAATAATAATAATAATATTTTATTAATTCTCCAACAAGACATATATACAATCCGGAAAATAAATTAATATACTTTGTTGGATCACCTCTAAAGCCATAGGCTGTGCTAGAGGTGAGAGTTCATACTATTACAATAATAAACAAAAATAACATGAATATAACATAAAAAGAAAGAAATATTATAATACTTTTACAATTTTTTCAAAAAAAGAAAAAACCTATAAAAATAAATAAGTAAACATTAAACAACATAATCAATAACTAGTGGATTTACATCTGTAATATAATTTATACAATATTATGTATTTAAGTCTAAAGTCATAAGTTTTCTCTTTAATTGTTTAAAATTAGTAAAGTCGTGAATACAAATTTTATATTTAATACAAAAATTGGTAAATACAAAGTACGGCCCAGATTGACAAAAAGTAGTTCTTAATTTTGGTAAAGTTATATTAATATCTTTAACAAATCGAGTATTATAACTATGAGTAGGAGTACTAATTGTATTAATATATTTAAAGACCATTGCGAAAACATGCACAATATGAAGCGACTTAATATTTAAGATTTTACATTCATTGTATAAAACATTTGTTGGAAAGAGTCTAGGCTTATTTTTAAAGATCATACAATTTTTATTGAATTCCAACCAGTATAATATTGATAACTGAAAAAAAAAATCAAAGAGTTAATGAATAAAGTGGTAGTAAGCGTGCTTGGTGGATCACCCTGTGTAGTGTGTATTTTATAAATAATATTATATATACGTTCGTAGATAGGTCGACTCGACGAAGTCATACGATATAACTGCAGCTGTGCAATATATTATAATGTGCCTCCGACGAGTGGTCGTAATGGCATTTGTAGGTGGTAATACGCGCATAGCTATAGTATGGTTATTGTCGGTCAGTCGCCACAGCCGCTGACGGGACTGTTTGCCGACAGCAGTTGCGAACCCCAATAACACCGGACCACGGTGATGATAATAATAATAAAAAAATAATAATATATCATTGCGGTTGATGCGATATCGTCCTGCGGAGTGTGTATATGACCTATTGCCGTGTTCGTTTTATCGAAATAATAAAATTGGAAAACCAGTGAAACGCTGCAGAGGCCCACAGCAATCACCCCCAGCCGGCGCACGTCCGCGTCAAATTTTAAATTCTGGATACGTCATAAAGGTCTACGGTTTTCTGCGACAGAAGGAAATTTACAAATTCATCATCGACCCATCCACCCACCATTTTATCACCATATTTTAACAAAACGATAGCAAATGTTTTTTTAGCGAATAAACTTCCACAAATCGTTATAGTTTTTTCGTAGTTAATCCCCCCTTCACCCGTTTACTCGCGTCACTGTCGCCATACATATATTATACAGTACAATGACTGTACAGGAGAAGGGTAGTATACTAAAATATGATGTGTTTTAGTCATCGCTTACACAGTTACACCATCGACTAGGCCACGTCATGCCACTGGTCGTTTCAGGGTGCAGTATGTTAAATGTACAGGAAACCCGTGCGCGTGTCGCCAAAGGGTTGTTCAGTCCACTGCGGTACGAGCAGCCGATCCAATCACTGTCGTGCAAATATGGGTAATTATTATTGTTCAACATTTTATTTATATTTTTAGGAAAATATTGTTGACACCTTATTTTATTACTGACGTTTAAAAGCAAAAATTGTATTAATTCCTGTTTTCAAGCAGCCTCGCCGTCGCTAGCGATATTATAAAATTATAGTATTATTATGTAGTTTATTATTTTCTTTCGTCTCTGATATACCGTGCGCGTGTTTATGAGCACAATATTATCAATTGCGAGTACCTACGCTGCACGGACCTATAAATTCCAGACCCTATAACGATAAAAATAATAATATACATTATCGATTTAAATTTTAAACCGACTTTATTTCATAATATTTTATATTATTACTATCATTATTGTACCTATTGTTATACGATTAAAAGCGTATACATAGGTTATATGCCTGCCGACGGAATACGATTGTATAAAAATGACGTTCATTTTTTTACTATTATTATTATAAATATTATTAATGAATGACACGCTGTAATAAATAACATTAACTTTATAATAGCTTCCGTACACACATGCGCGTGTTGATCGCCCCATAAAATATTCTATACGTTTTTTCATTCCTATATATATATTTTTATTATTATTATTATTATATATAATATATATTTTTTTACGACTTCCGAAGAGAAAACAAAGCGATCGGGATAAACAGCCATAATAACGTGGCATAATATATTATATAGATCATAATAATAATAATAATAATAATAATAATAATAACATGTAAAACAAATTCGAAATCCGCATTAAACACTCACATGAGTACACGACATCGTAAAAATAATGTATACATGGATTATGGTATTACGCATATTATATTATAACATTATAATATTTGTATGAGCGATATCAAAAATGATCTCTGTCGATGTCTTCAACTATATTGATCACGCTTTATCGATCATTTTCCATCGGGTTTTGGCAAAAATGATAAGTGTTTTTCTTTGCGTACGTTTTTTAACTATATATATTAGCTATCCCCACCACCTGCCGGGGTAATGACTAATGATACACGTCGCGGGTCATTACGACGATATTGCCGTAGGTACGTAGATATATATATATGTAAAATATTATAGTAGTATTTCTTGTAACGAACGTCGACGACGATGACGACGACGGCGACACTATATAATCATTATTATAAATTTACAATCCATGGCCGACGTTGAGGTATCGATTCGAGAACGTAGTCACCAGTCACACACCTGCAGTCATCGGTGCTTTTTCGTAGTGTCCGGTTCGTTTTACGTAATACTTTATACGCGAGGTATTATGTATAGGTGCATAATATATTGTATTATTGTAATGTATACAGAGTGAGACGTGGTGGTTTTCCACGTTATTTATTGTATAGTATATAATTATTATTATGAATTATAATAATATACGAGATAAGACTTTCAGCAACTCTGTGTATAGTCGGATACTATATTATTAAGCAACAAATTGTTTCTCATGACCACGGTATATCATCGTAACAGCGTTATACCGTAGAATATTTTAGACCATCCGTATTATCATATATACTCCTTTCGATTTTCGACAATCGTCAAACCGTCCATCGAGTAGTCAGTGGTCGGGGGGAAGTGACCGAGAGTATTAAGGGGGGCGTGATTGAGGAGAACTCGGATTTGAAGGGTTTCCTACGGCATTGGTCATCGCAGCACCGATCACGTTTCGGCCGACCGACGGAATCCGACGTCAGTCGATCGCTGTATATCGGTGGCGGTGATGCAGCAGTTCAAGCCTTTTTCATTTTCCAGGTAAGTCCGATACGCATGCCCCAAGCAAAGCAGGAAATTCTCAAACTTGAAAACGATCGTTTTAGCTGCCCTGCAAAATCTTGTGGACCTCACTGGGATGTTAAAATCATACAGGTTGACGTTGTGGTCACGTTTCTTCGCTGCAGTCGCTAATGACCGTACCTATTATAATATAGTAACTTGTAACATTTGATTGTAATTAACTTTCTATGATCAATTTTTTTTCGAATGTATTAGATTCTATGTCTACATAGATATAATTGTCTATGCCTTACACTTTTATCATTGACACCAATGTACCATGTTGTTTGGTTCCAACTTCTAATAAAATCCAAATTATTTTCAGTTTTCAGATACTAGAGAAATCCAGAAATCTGTACGTCGACGTTTGTAACACCTACAAGTTCAGTATCAACAATATTCAACCAGCCTGCGTCCAGTTTGACCTGTAGCTTTGATCTAGTGATTGTGCATATTGCCTGGACGAGGTAAATTACATTAGATTAATCCATGCTTTCCTTGTAACACTTATTATATTTTATTAATTTACCTACTACCAAGTTTGAAATTATCATTGTAATATTGTACCTATACTATTTGGAGTTTTAAATCGAGTGTATCTAATAATTCAGGCCTGAGCATAAACAAGTTAAAAAGTTAATTTTCACTAACTTAATTTTTAACTTAACTGATTTTTATTAATATAAACTTAAGAAATAACGAGTCATTTTTATTCAAATCCAAGTTACGTTAATTTATATATAACTAAATAAATATAATAAAATTATTGTTAATGATGCATATTGCATAGTGCATACATATTTATTTTTTTATTATTTAAACGATATAAATGGTAATGTATGTATTAAAAAAGAAAAATAAGTTGATTGTAAGTTTCCAGATAACATTTAACTTAACTGAGTTAAAAAAAATTAGTGCATCTACTAACTTTGCACTTTAAAAATATTTTATATCAACTTAACTTAACCCAGTTAAAAATTATCATTAACTTTCCCAGGCCTGCCTAATATCCTATGGCATATAGTAGACATAATATCCAACCCAATATATTATATAGACACAACTTTCTCACTCGACGTTTATGAGGTACTTATAAGTTTTTCTCCTATATGATTTTGAACTAGTTATAAATTTAACATACAGTTCAAGAATGGTACTGAGTATAGTAATCAAATAGCATTACTGTCCCGGTGTGAAATCGGAGGAAATTCGTCGTCGTCAAATTATGGCAATGTATATTATATTGCCGGAGACGAGTCGGACCTTAACATAATAATATAAAGTCGATTAAGATAACAGAGACGCGTGTGTGTAGTCGTCGCTATATCCCGAGCGCTTGTACAAACACGCCATGTACCTACACTACCACAGCAGCAGCAACAACAAGCCGGCAGCAGCTGCCTGGCGTAGAATTAATGTTTGCCAGGAAGCCCCCATATTCGCTAATATAGCATATTAAGACGCTACGCCGCCCCACCCCCACGCCGCGCCAGTGAGGCCGAAAAACCACCACCTCCCCTGCACCCCCACAACACACACACACACACACACACACACACACAAGCATCGACCCCGCGCCCCTCGCAGACGCGCTTGGATTTTGTAACACCGACCCTAAATTTAACGCGTCGCACTAAACCGCGGCGTGTACATATTTTATTATTAAGCGTTGGTAACCGCGGTACATATAGTAGCTAGGTATACAATACACGACACGTTATTAATATAATATATGTATGTTGTGTGTATGCGCGTTTAGAGGAAAGGGCAACACCGGTCCACACTGTGTTATGTATATATATGCGTGCGTAACAATATAAATATGTGCTTAAGCCGGTGGCGGTGTTATTGTAATATTATTATGTACTGTTAATATTATTTCGTACCTACCTGCCACGCGTATTAATAGCCGTGTTGTCGATTCGTTAAATTCTCTCGCTCTTATATTATACTACTACGTATGACGCTTTAGTCGTATCGACCGTTTTTCACCCTTATTTTTTAAGCAAACACGCGCAATCCTCCAGCTTGGCGCCCCCCCCCCCCGCTGCACGAGGACCGATTATAATATAGGGTTAATACCTAATTATTATAGTTTTCGCAACTTAAGACTTTGTTGCGTATACAATATAATATCATAACTCGAAATGTGGTTGTACCTGCGTCATATTATTGTATTACGTACTGTCACTCTAGCTGGACACGTTGTACACGTTTCATTTGTCTTCTTAATGTAATATTATAATATCGGTCTTACACGAAGCTTATCAACTATCCATAACTGTAAAATTGTTTCCCACCTACCATCTACGTACCTATTACTTATTAGATACATAATACAATACGTCGAATTATATTTTTTTCGTTTTTAACTCTAATTTAGAATAATTTTGGCATTTTATGGAGTTTTAAAACTTATTTTTAATGAAACGCGTATTTGTTTGAAATGTTCGAAAAAATAATATTTATTTTAACACGTAGAAAGTGTTTTGTTTATTAATGGTTTATTTTATAATTTATATCCATATGATGTTTTAACCATTTCAATTTAAAAGCCACTAGTACGTCATAATCAAAAAGGTTTTTAAAATAATTCTAAGTGCTTATATTCTCATATACCTGTAGGTTGTAACACGCGCTTATGACCGAGATAATTCCAATATCATACTCAATAATAATTGAGCTTAAAAAAATTAATTATTTTTATTTTCGTGACACTTGAAATAATAATTTAATTAATTAAATATTTTGTCCACGTATCTGACATCGTAATAGCATCGAAAAATCGTAGTACAGATGCAGGCAAATCTTAAGTGAAATTTTGTGTAAAATATAATACAATACAAAATATGATATGACAGGACTCTTCATAGCTACTTACATATTAATATCGAATTCGGAAATATTTTTGACATTTGCCCGTGTGTCGATGAGTTTTAAAATAATTTGCCGAGGAGCCGCTAAATATTTCCGTTGAAATCTGCCCCTGAAACGTTTCACATATTTTGTTGAGTTTTGCAAGCTGCACACAACCGACGAAGGCATATAACGATTTATTTGGTGGCACGCTATTTATCAAAAACCGACTGTTACATAATATAACATTACTTTTACCGACACGTTTTTCCATCGTATAAAGGGTGATTAACCAATTATGCTCGCCCTTTTTTTTTCAATAACAAAAATAATGAAATATCTGATTTATTGGAAATGACATATATTTTTAAAAAATGCTTTGTTTTTTTCTTTGGCAGGACATCACACCGATGGCAACCGAATGTACGCCGTTGACCAATGCCGATGACGTCACACCGGTATCGGGTTCCGGGTACATTTCGTTGTCGAAACATGAAACTGATCACACTCCGCCGTGCCTGAAACCAAGATGTTGCGTGTACGCCGCACTGCTGTGAGTTGTTCTTAAAATTATTATAATACTCGTTGATATTTATTATCATTGATCTCGTACCTGATATAAAGTGATTTATTTCTCAAAACACTGCGATTCAGTGGGTCGGATCAAAAAAAAAAACACCGTCGTCGTACTTATATTGTACATGTATAATAATTATGCTGGCTTAGAATATGAAAAGGTTCTATCGTATCACTTTGAAATAATTAAAGTCATTCATGAGAGTGATGTTGAACCTATTATATTTTGTTCAGGTGGATCAATTGATTTCAATATTTACAATTTAAAATATATTCATTAAGTTCTATTGAAGAAGACGTACTTCTAAGAAGTGTCCACATATAAACATGTAGGATAAAAATAAAAGAATAAAACATATAAACATTTCTGTTAATAATAAATTAATGAAAATAAGTTCTTTTTTTATAGAACATTTTCTTTGTACTCATGAAACTATCCTATTAGATGGAACCTTTTTATAATAATTCGTTGTATCAGTGTGATCAATATAAGATAAATATTAAATAAATATAAATTAAATATTTAAAGAACGTTTTCATTCTAAATAATTTTGTATTATTATAAGATAAAAACTTTTCTTTCGAAATTTTGTATTTAGTTTCAAAAACGTTCTATCTAACACTAAGTTTAATTGCCTAAATAATAATTTTCAATAGTATAAAACCTTTTCTTTTATAATTTCGATATTTCATACACTCATTATTATTTGTTTTCTTTAAAAACTTAAATGAGCAGATTATCGACAGTGTGAAAAATATCTGATTATATAACGGCACCTGCTCTTCCCTGTATTCTAATACATTTAAATGTTTATATGTAATTATAATAATTAGCTATAAATTTAAGTAAACGATGTACACGTAGGTGCACCTATAATCGCTCGATATATTTATATATTTTGTCGTCGTAATTGTAAATAGGCTTTTAGTTTTTTTGTTTCAAAAATACAGAATGCTCACATAATCTCACGATATATCATCATACGGAAACGAGACAAATATTGTTTCCTTAAAAACGAGTACCAATTTTATATTTTAAGTAGAACTTTAAAATTGTTTTTCTTATTATTCTATGGATAAAAATTACATACATCATGCATTATCGTCCTTTTATTCGATATTTCATTTAAATATAGACATTCAAAATAATGAATAATCCTACTTGATCCATTAATGTCAACAAATTAAATATGCTAATTGGAAAAAAAAATTTAATTTTAATAAGTATGCCTTTAGAATATTATTAATATTATCCAAACAAAAACATTTGAGATTATATTTGCTTTTATAATTTAGTTTCAGTTATTAAATATATATATTAATAACAACCAATGGAATAGATCAAATACAATTTGATTTTCTGTTTACAAATATTAATATAATATGGCTATAAAGTTAATATAAATATATCTCTATGACTATATTACAAAATTCATTTAATAACTTCATTAAAATACCCACTTTCAAATAAAGATTAATATTTAAAAATAATTAAAAAGTTAAAATTATAATTATTTAGCAAAATATACATAATTTATTCCGGTACTTCTGTAGGTAACATCGTAGTGATGCAATTTAAAATCATATAAACTTAAATCGTTATCTGTATAACATAATATCATAATACATGATATATAAAATAGGTACAACCTTAGCATTTTTAAATCAAAACAATCAACAATTATTAATTTTTCCAAGTCTTCTTTTATTATGTTTTGAATGTTATTAAATCTTACACGACATTAAAAAAATAAAACGTAAAATATTTAAAGTTTCAAAAGATAGTTTTTACATTTTTTTCCCCAACTGTGTAAGCTCATCCAAGAACAAAATACCTTGAAATGTAAATACCACTTTGAAACAAACAATGGGCTCAAAAATCACGTTAAACTTCTCTGTTCATTGCTATATTGTACGAAATTATATACTTTTCCTAAATGAATAAAAATAATAACAGCAAAAATAACCAACAAATATTTAATTATAATATTATTACAATAATGTTGTTCTGGCCTCAAACTCAGCGACAATCATCAGATTATAAAACAATAACGATTATACGAACTCGGATGGATTCAAACGAGAAAAGAAAATATATTTTCAGAAACTTCATAATGTCAAGGTAGGCATTGTAAAGTTTACTGTGTTAACATCACAACGTTAGTACTTATAAAACCCTATATTCAGACATAATTATGTAATCGTTGTGGGTCTGAAAAAAAGATTAAGTTTCTCGATGGCTAAAGTATAGAGTCCCCTATGTATTTATTTAGAGTGTTTCAAGCACGAGTCATTATCAGGCTTCAATATGTTTCAGCAATCAAACGTAGTTGCGTAACGTTATCGACTGTCATAATAAAATAATAATATATTTACATACTACATGCAATACTTACCATTGGTGGATTTTCAACATTTTTTTGGAGCGTAGGGCGTTCAGAAAATTAATATTCCAAACGCATTATTCATATTAAAAAAAATCGTCGATCGTATTTCTATTTATGTATTTTGTTAATTTGAAATGTAAACGTGTACCTACATATTATTTTACAAACTAAAATCGATTCTTATTTTATTTCTACGAAGTTTGTTTAAGACTGCATCAACTGTTAATCAATTTTCATACCTATACAATTCGACAATATTACCGTTCAATCTACCTAAAATTTCATTTAAAATTTTACATTT